AGTTGGTCCTTAACCATACTCACTTTTTTTTTAACCCAGAGGATTCTGATGAAACTGGGTCAGAGTGTAACTACACGTGCAGCTCTGCTGGCAAATCTGAACCAGCTGTAGCGTTGTAGGCAGGGTGAGCTGTGGCTGGGATGCCATGTCTGCCTGCAGTCAGTGTGCGTGGCTGGCCATAAGGACTGAGGCCGCTGCTCAGCTCTGCCAGCTCTCCTTGGGTCCGCAGCAAGTTGCTGGGGCAGGGCAATGCCTTAAAGCTCCAAGCCACTGCTCAGTGAATGTGAATTGGAGCCTTTTGGGAGAGAGCAGTAGGGTTAAAAAAAAAAAAAAAAAAAGGCTATTTTGTAGCTTGCTATTAATCTATGTTCCTGGGGCTTTGTACCCTGAGCAGAGCCCTGCTTTCAGTGGGGCACCTGGGCAGCTGCCCCCTGCTTCTGTGGCTCCTGCTGTGGTGTCCTGTAACAGTCAGCACTTGGGAAGCTTCTGCAGCAAGAGCTCTTTTCTTAGGCCTTTATTTGCTATTTGTTTGGATAATCCTGGAGAGGAATGCATTTTGCTGTTTACTGCTTTTTGTACCGACATGCCTTGTCACACGGTGATACAAGTGGTACCAGACATCCATACCTGTATGTTCTGTAAAGTGAAATGTGTTCCTAATTTACACAGCTTTGTATCTTGCTTGTCTTTGGACCCAGGATGAAGCTTTACATGCTTAAGCAATACTAATGCCTGTTTTGTTTTTCTTTTGTAGTTTCTTCCTTGCTTCTTTAGGACGAGGGGAAGATGACCATTAGTGTTAGTTTAAGTGAGCTGTTCCATTATAAATGTGATTGTGATAGAGGAGGGAATATCTTTAAACACTTGTTTAAAAATTGGAATCAGATCTGAGATGAGAGTATGTTGATACCTGTCAGTGCATTGCTCAATCTTCCTTGACAGTGAAGAGCACCTTAAACTCAGCTCTCTGCTTTCTCTTGGAGAAGCATTTCCAAAGCTGGCATCAGTATGGTCCAAACTGCATTTTGGTTGGCTATGCACCTGCTAAAAGATGTCTCAGTATTGACAGCTTTGAGTGAGATAATGTAAATTGCAGTAGGAGAAACTTTAGGATGAGGTGTGAGTAAATGCTGTTGAAATGGACGTGTCAGGATGGGAAGGAGGTGTGAGGACAACTTGAATTCAGGAGATCTTTTCCTTAAGGAGAATGGATGAAGGGAAGGCTGATTGCAGCCTGGCGTTTTGGGGTTCCTAAAGCTTGTGTGTTTAATCCTACTAAATGCTGCTCTCTGATCTTACTGATTAACATTTCAAGTTTATAAAGCTAGAGTATCAGCTCTTTGAAATGAGTAACACAGAAACATTTTAATTAAAAAAAAAAAAAAACACAGAAAAAACCAACAGTGCAGTATTGTGGTGCTTTGTCTGGGGGGGAAAGGAGGTACATAAATATTTTGTTACTTTCTTTGTGAATTACTGGGAGAGCTCTCTCTTCTCCCAGAGAACCCAATGTCCAGGGGGACGTAACCAGCTTTCACAGCCTCAGTTCTGTAGGTGTTATAATCACTGGTGCCCTTTATGAGGTTCTCTGTTGCTTGTTGTGCAAAGTAACTTCCCCTCTGAGGATGTGCAGTAGTGAGAGCGGAACAGTTGGACCTGTGCTAGTGGTTGAGATGGTCTGAAAGGGTCGGAAGGAGAGGATTTAGCATGGTGGCACACAGCTCTGCAGGCTTCTTGTGACAACAAGAAGCATCTCTGAATTGAGCAGTAATATGAAGTCACTGGAGGTAATCTTAAGTTCAGTTTAGCTGATACAAAAAGAGGCCATTTCTTCTGTAGTCTTCATCAAAGTAGGTGTGTTGGGGCTGTGCTGGTTTAAGGCTCTTGCCCTTCCTACAGTGCTCTTCCCTCGTGTTGGTGCTCATGCAGCTGGCTGTGCAGCTGTGCTACAGAGCACTGCAGGGAACGTGCCTGAAGTATCGTCAGGAGTTTGGATGGTTGGTTGGTTGTTTTTTTTCCAAAGGTGAACCAATTCATGTTCAAAGTAACAGGGTGACTCTATGAGCATTGTGGTAGCACAGCTTGGGGGGAAGTGGCAGAGCTTAGAAGCATTTCCAGCAGTGTTCCAGGCTCTGTGCTTGTTCTGTGGCACCTCGCTGGGACATGCATGTATCCACGCTGCTCCCAAGACCTTGCTGTCACTCCAGCTGTAAAGTTTATTCAAGTTTTGTGTTCAGGCCAAGCTTGTAGACAGTTGTGAGGCTACAGATAGGATATATTGTTCAGTAGGCTTAATTCCTGGGAACAGTTAGCTTCCAGTACAAATGGCCAGTCCCATTTGTAATCTTGTCATTTCTCTTGCACCGTGTGCCAGATCTCAGCTGTCTGTCACACCAGTGAGCTCCCCAGTTCACCTGCACAAATCTTGCTGGTTTTTCATCACACAAGCAAGCTGCTCTGACTCACCACGGGATTGCCAACAAAGGAAGGGGTGGGAGCACAACAGGGGCTGTGGGAGCAGGCTTCTCAGGGTGCAATTTCCATGACAGCCCACCATTATGTGTGGTGCTTGGACTCAGCGACTCTGTGAATCTTCCTGTTTGAGGAATTATGGATGGTTCTGAAACAATCTTCTGAGGCTGAACCAGAACAGCTGTTCCACCACCTCTTGCTATTAGTGCCTGTTAAGATGGGAGCAGCCCTGATTGCTGTGCTCACTGCTGTTTGGCTCCAGTGGTGTGTGAGAGGTGATGGAGAAGTGCTGATGAAGCATGTGATGGGGCCTTTGGTCCCTTGTGTTCTCGGTGTCTGCTTTTTGGCCAGTGGTTCTTCTGCTTGAAGCCAGCTCCTCTGCTGCAATGAATTGTTCCATGCATCTTCAGCTCCTGCATCTCCCACTCTGACCCGTCTCTCTTGCCCAAGAAGCACATGTGACAAACAGCTTGGCTGATGCGGTTGGATTTCTAGAGCTGATCACTTCTTTGATCCCTTTTAGTGCCTGTGAGCACTGCAAGGGAGGGAACAGCATGGGAGAGGGAGCGAGAAGCTTGGCAGCAAGAGCTCATTATGCTGGTTTGGCATTGTGTGGCTTTAGGGTTCAGATGGTTCAGGTCAGCCATCTCATCCCAGAGCTTGCAGGCTGCTAATGAGGCAGTGGATGCAGTTGCCCCTTTGGAATGCAACAAGCTGTTGTGCTGTTTCAGCTCCTTTCTCATTGAGTTTTGTACTGTTGCATCAGTTCAATACTATCTCTTCTTCATTTTATTCCCAAAATATTAGCAACCAATATAGGAACTTCCACTTCCTGTGGCTTTTATTGAAACTCTGGAGGCATCTGTGGCACTTCCCTTGTTGATCAGCACATTCTGGAGCCTCATGCCATTGGCTCGTGTGCACTTGGTGGCTGGATCCGCTGGTTAAGGAACTCAGGAGCTGGCTTTTCTAGTTTTTCTTCTGGTCATCCTTGTGCACCTTTCACAATTTGCTTATTGAAATGGGGCTGACTTGAAGTCCATTATCCGGAGCTGGTTACTGTGTGACTGCTTTAGCACCTGCTCTGTTCAGCAGCTGTTCTTTGGGCAAGAAGAAAAAACCCAGTAATGTGCTGTTATTGAGTTCCTGCGTACTGCTTGAAGCTAGCTGGTGAATGGAAAGACAGTCACAGTAACACTTGAAGTTTAGTCTGGTAGGGATTTTAAATCTAAAATTAAAAGTTTTGTTCTTGCCCAGTGACTGAGTCTTTATTAGCTGTTGAAATACTCTGTCCAAAGTGGCTCTTAATTAGATTTTCAATCTTAAATACTGTATGCCAGCAGCGACTTGTATAAGGTTTCATCTTTAAAGTGGTTTGAGTTACCAAAGCACAGACAACTCGTGTTAATTTACACTTCAGTCTTCAGCTGCACTGTGTGAGTGGGCCCAGCATAAGAACTGAATTCCTGCATAGGTTACTTGTAGCTCCTTCTATGGGGTTATCTGGAGAAAAGGCAGGCAGGAAGGTGCTCCTCCACTTACAAGTGGAGTACTTCAGCAAAATCAAATCTAGCTGCCATTTGAGGTCAGTGGGGGCTTTGTGTGTTAAAAGCAAACACTTCTGAATTGCGGTGGGTCAAACAGCTGAAAGAAGCTTAATTGCAAGTTGAAGCTTAATAAGATACTGAGATTTTTTTTTTTGTCTTCCTGCCTGTATGTCTTCCATGTCTTCCATCTTGAGTACTTTGTTGTCCTCAAAGTAGAGCACTTCACTGCTGTGAACAGGGGACTTGGCTGGTGTTGCTCTGAGCTTTGCAACCCAGAGATTTGTTTTTGAATATCAGTTCCATTTGCTTTTGGAAAATGAATACAAAATACAATGGGTCTGTGACTTCAAATGCATCTTGTGTAAAAGGAAGCCTTTTTACCCAGGCGTATTTCTGACCACAGGTTCTAGTTTTGTAGCTAGACAATTAGTGAAATAATCAAGTAACTTGGATCCTCTTCCCTTCTGGGTTTTCTTTTTCTATGCTTTTGATATGTATGCTGACATTACTTGTAGCATTGATTTTCAGTGATGCTGCTAATCTGTCTTTGTTTTGTCTTACAAGAATTGTCTGTGCTTCATCCTAATTTCTGGTGAGGAAATATAAAATGGTAGACCTAAGCTGATCTTGAATAAAATAGCTGATACCTTAAGATATTTAGTTTGTTAATGAGAAACACTTCTTTCGCAACTGGTGCAAAATTAGGCAGATGTATCTGTATATGAGGAGGAAAAAAATGAAAATTGATTTTGCCTCAGTAAGTATCAGATGTCAGAAACTCATCTACAAGTTAGGCCATTTGAGAATAGTCACGAGGATAAGAATACTATTAAGGAGGGTCACTTGTGGTAGTTCTACTGATAAGGTTTAAGGTTATCCTTAAGCATCTTGATGGAACATAGAGAAATGTATATTTCCAAATATTAAGTGTAAAAGAGTTTTTCTGAGGCGTCTGAATAATGGGAAATATATCAATTTCAGGTGTGTAGAAGAAGAGAAAATGGCTCAAGAAACCAACCGTAGCCAAGTGCCTATGCTTTGTTCCACTGGTTGCGGATTTTATGGGAACCCTCGGACAAATGGCATGTGTTCAGTATGCTACAAAGAACATCTTCAAAGGCAGAACAGTAATGGTAGAATTAGCCCTCCTGGTAAGTAATGCTGTTGTGCTGCTGTTTGAAAACTTGAAATGATGAGCTAGACTTCACCTTGACCACGGCACAATGCTAAATGCACAGGAGCATTAGTGCACACCAGTAGATTGTATTCACGTCCATATTTTACCTGATGGATTGAATTTGGATGAAATGCTCACGGTGTTATTGTGCTGTAATTAATCTGCTTAAAGTTGCTAATATGTATTATATTCATATGATGGTTTAGAATTCCAAGATAAAAGCACAAAGAAATGTTAACGCATTTTTCCCAAAACTACTGATAGTGGAGAAAACATCTGTCTTAGGGGATGTTTGTGAAAAGCATTTAAAGTATAGGTTTGCAGCCTGATGCTGAAGGATTAACTCCCAGACACTTCCTTCTATTTTAAGAAAGGCTGCTCCTCCTTTTAAATTCTTTTTTGGCCCACTGCCCAAAGTATTTGTTCTGTTCTACATAACTGATTTCCCCAACCCACTGCAATAAGTGCAGTAAAAATTCCCTGTCTAGGAGAAAGCTGGAAGGGCTCTTTCCCCTCAGAGTTAATGGTGATTCCCTCTGGAAAAGGAACCCTTTCTTTGTTCTACTTCACTCTTTCAGACTTCAGCATGTCCTGCTGTGGGAAGGAGTGTGAGGAAGTGCATCCCTCTAGAATCTAAAATGCGTGTTCTGGCTTGGCTGGATATCGACACCAAGCTTCTCACGTTGGGCTCTTTTGTGAACTTTTTTACCTTTATTATAAATGTAATTTTTACTTGAAAGCTTCAGCTTTCATTGCTGGAAACCTAGAGATCTAGGTTCTGCAACTTCCTATTGTATCCTAAGATACACTAGGAGATGCTGCAGTGCTGTATCCCATAGATCCACTCTGGTTCATTTAAGAAAATCAAACCTATCATGTTAGAGAACTTGGAGTTTATACTGAGAAGGTTGTTTGTAGATGCTCTAAGTAACAGAAAATAATAAGTATTTTAAAGCTCTGGTTTTGCAGTTTTGTGCTGTGAAACTTGTGGGGGCCTGGGGCTAGAACACGTTTGAAATATGACCAGACATAATTACTTTTTTGTAAAACTATTTTTCATTATGATGTAGACTGAGATTCAATTGCTTTCCTGGCTGGTGTCATGGGGGTCAAAGAATAGTTGTGTTGTGTAGTTTATGTAACCCTTGGAAGTAGTGTAACACATTTTACATTAGTGTCTTCCTTCCAGCAACTTCTGTCAGTAGTATAACTGAGTCCTTACCGGTTCAGTGCACAGAAGGCAGTGCCCAGGAAACTCAATCAACTTTAGATTCTTCATCGACTCAATCTATGCAGCCAAGGTAAGCTGTTTCTGTCATTCTGTCTGTTTTTGCATGGAAATGTTTCAGTCTGCGTGATGAAATTAAGTGTGCTTTGATTCTCCATAATTAAGTGCTAGGATCTGGCTTAGGAAAGCATCTAAAATTTAACTGAAAAATTTAAAGCATGGGGTCTCACAATAAATAGTAGAGGATCTGTTAGCTTCATCTTGCATTCAAATGCAAATTTCTCTTTAGAATTTAGCCTCAAGTAGGAGCATTGCCAGCTTCATGCTGTTCCATAGAGATTTATCTGGCTAGTCTTCCAGCTCCACAATTTGCAGTTAGTTGTATACTTACCAAGGGAGTGTTTTTTTTTTTTGATCCCAGACACTTGAGGATTTTGTAAAAAATGGCAGAAAGTTGTTGACGAGTACTCTCCTAAATGTATGATAATGTGTTAACAAACTGGTTGCTTTGCAAAATGTGGAGCATGCAGGGGAAGGATGTCTAAATCCTAGTACAAGTTGTACTGCTGAATTGATGTCTTATTAAACAAGTCATTTTCAACTGGATTATTCAGGGAGACGTAATGTCCTCTTGTAAATCACTCAGACTTACTAAGTGCTCTCCATTTGTGAAAGCTAAATATTTATTTGCTTGGCTGTATTTCAGTTATGGATTGGTATAACCAACAGCAACTTTAGAAGTGCTTTGGAATTTTTTTTTGGAGTGAGGAATGTTAGCTACATCGTAGATGTGAAATGAAAATCTGAGTAAATACTGCTGGTTAAAAAATGAAATGTAGGAAAGTGCAGACCAAGGATAAGCAGGATTTGGTTTCATTACTTATCGCCGACTGATTCTGTTCAGGCTGTTTTCTACCCTATAGATTTTTATAGGAGGTGTTATCTCTTGCTTGCGTCCTGCATCTGTACTGAGTTGTGGGTGCTGTGCTTAATGTTGTATTTGATCTTTCTATTCTGGGATTTCTAACTGAGGTAGAATGTAAATATCTTACCTCATACAACAATTACAGTAGGTATTTCTAAAATAAATTAGTGAAAGAAGAATCATCCAGGTCAGTGCGCAGTTGAAGTGCCTTGGGTTTGTTTTCCCACCCAACTTGCATTTAGAAGAACTGTATTTGATCACTAGCTTGGTTGTTGGTTACAGGAGAAAGGAATGGCTGCTTGCCCTGAGCTTTGCAAGACAGAAAATCAACATCTTTTTCTTTTTTCCAAAATAAAAGTGGGGGGTTCAACTTCAGTCTCTGGTAGTACCTCACTGAGCCTTTTGATGCTCTGAGGAAACAGCTGCAAAACAAAACATGCATTTTTGTAAGTGTTCAAACCTTCAGGTCAGGAGCTGCATGCAACTCTTGGCAATTAAAGTCACCACCCAAATGTCCTGGTTGTGTCATGGCCTTCAGGGAGGGCTTTGTTAAAGTGTGGGCTGCTGGGTAACCCAATTTTTCTTATTCAGAGCGAATCCCTGAGAACAGCGGGAGAAAGAAGTTGGGCAAGTGGGTGGTGTTACCCATCACCTGAGACTTGTGGCACAGAAGAGCTGCTATTGTCTCTCCCATAACTATCCACTGTATTTCACTGTGGTTTTTCAGCTGCTCTCTAGTTTTAGCAGTATGGCTGACAGTGGAGAAAGTTGGCCATCGCTGTTTTACATTGCACAAACATAAGTTCTGCGTACAACTGCAGATGCTCTACTGCTGGAAACATTGACATGCTGCAATTTTCTTGTTCGTATCACTGGAACACCAGAGGTAGCTCCCCTACAATTATCTTGCTGGCTAAGGTTTCAAAAAGCCTTGTGTTGAATGTTGCATTGTTGCTTCTTCTCTACGGAGGGATAACATACTGAACTACAGTAAATGGTTGGGGGGGGTTGAGAAAACACATTTTTTTGTTAGTTGAACTGGTTTATTGCATTCACTATGAATGCAAAAATGTTTAATTTTTCATCAATTCAGATTGCCTAGTAATCTTAATTGAACTTTGGTTACAGAAACAAGATTGAAGTAAAAAGTATTGGTGTGCTGTCTTGTCAAGACTTACTCTAACGTATTTCTTTCAGGAATGCTCCATAGGACATAGATATGCTTCGTGTTAAAAAACAAAGCATAACTCTTATTTTTTTGCCTTTCAGCCCTGTATCAAGTCAGTCACTTTTAACAGAATCTGTAGCATCATCCCAACCCGATAGTACAGCTGTGGACAAAACAGTACCTGAGACAGAAGAGTTGCAAGGTTGGTGCCTGGCTTTTGGAGATGGATATTTGTGAATATCTTTAAAACCTTGACTGTTCATTATACACTCCTGTTCAAGAGATGGCCCATTCTCAGTACTAAATGTTCTTTGAAATCAGATGTAAAAATAATGATAAACTTAATGTAAGAGTCTTGAACTGGAGATTTCTGACTTTAATTGCAAATTTCAGTAACAAGTGTGTTAATTGAGGTTGGAAATGCACAACACAAATGAATGCTACTGCATGAGGATAGATGTGGGAGAATATGTTACTTCTCAGGTTGGTAACTTGCAGGTTAGGCAAGTTTGAGTGTATTTGTTACAGAGGGTGTTATGGCATAGCTAAAAACAGTGTCAGTGAGCACAAAACATCTACTGAAGAGCCTTTTGCCTAGGGACTTGATTGATTTTTAGTGTATTATTTTATCAAAGATAAAATTACTAGTCCATGTGTTCCAGTTGCTTGAAAAAAAACAAACACCTGGAAGGATCATTTCAAGTCTGGCCTATAATCCTTATAGCTGTTACAATGTAAAGAGATTTTTTTTATTTTGTTTTTTTCTTTGTTGATTCTTCTGCTTATGTAGAGGCTTGCAGAACTTAAATGCCATTAAACACTTTAGTTTTCTTAGGAAAGTGCAAAAATCAGGTAGTATACCAAATTTGTTCAGGCCTGCAATCCACAGACTTTTATAGAAGGTACTTAAAGGTAAGTCAGTAAGTATTCTGTGTTTTCTCTTGCTGACGCAGCTAAGGCTTCAGTGTATAGAGCTCTGCTTCTGCAGACTTAAAATAGTAGTTCAGTTTTCCCACAGATACAATGTGCCATTTCACTTAGTTGCTAAATACAGGTTCTCTTGAAACTTCTGTTATTGAAGTTCAGTGTTTCAGGTATTTTACCAAATCAGAGTTGTCCCTTTTTGTAGGGTAGAATAGAAGAGTCATTCTCTGTGACTGTTACCTGTGCTCAGTAAAGCCTTCTGAGTTTCATAACTACAGTTTGTGTGACCAAGGAGGTGGGAAGACGTTAATGCTTAGGTTGTTTTGTACTGCTCTTTGCAAAGTTAATTACTGGAAACATGTTGACATCCAGAATGCATCTTTAAGTGTATGTGCTAGTATCCATCACTTCATTTTCTGGAACAGAATACCTCAACTTTGACAGTGTGCACAAGGTATGCTCTTAATATACAGATCAGTGACATCTGACCTTACCTAGTCTGAGAGAAAGCAGGGGCTGCAAGGGGTTGTAGGTCTCAAGCTGTGGATACTTGCACAGTGGAGGTGGCTTTTCAAGGTATATCTTGAGTTGTTGTACCTCTGAGTCATACACACATGGCGTTACTTTCATCTCAGTTCTGCAGCATGGAGAAACTGGGAAGCATTGCTGTAACCCAGCTCCTGTACAGGTCTCCTTGCAGGGGACCTCATAATTAGATCAGTCAGACACAGAAATCTTGTACCACGTGTCACATCTGTATCAGAATAAGCCTGTATCAAGCAATATGATGTCAGTTCTTTAGGCTTATCATCTACTGCCATTTTTTTTCTTTCTCACTCCCAAAAGCTTCCAAAACCTGTTAGTCTCATGATGATTCTTCTTCCACCCAGAGCCTGGATTAGTGTGTCTGTCTACATATATATCTTGCTTGCTTGGCTTAACTGCAAGTTGAAACTCTGGGCTTACAGCATGTACTGCTTTTTCACTTAGACGTAGGGCAATAGTATTGTAATTTAAAATAATCTTTGCTTTTTTTGTGATTGGGCCTCTGGAAAGACTTTACCCTGCAAGCTTTCAGAAGAATGTCTCATATCACATTTAGAGAATTAGAGGGAACATATATTTATCCGTCTCTAAAACTAATTCTCCCTGTGAGAAGATAAGAACTAGAAACTTTGATTTCAAGGGTATGGTTCCTATATTCCCATTTTATAGAATGCATTTCAAGGGTCAACCTACGTCAGGTGTTTAGAGTGTTTCAGCTCTGTCCTTTTCTTTGTACCTTATTAGTTTCTAAACTAAGACCATCAGCATGTAATTGCAGTTCTAAATTACAGTCCCTATTTATAACTTGCTGTGGCAGGGTCAGCCCCATTTTTCTGAAGATTACTTCTGTGCTATCCCTTAAATGAAAACTGTATGAATTGTAGCCTTTCCAGTTTTAGCTTTCTGCTTCAAAAAGTGCAAGTTTGAAAAAAAGAGCAACTTATATTGAATGCTGAGTGGGCTTTATTGCCTTGTCATAGTTTTGCATGCTAAAGTTTGTTTTTTCACATCATTCTGAATTTGAAGTTTAGGCTTCTGACAAGAATGTAGTAGGGATGTGTTAGCACTGACTAGCTGTGTAGCACTAAAAAAGTTTCAGTATGGTGAGAGTCCCAAACTAAGAGCTTACAATTCCTGTGCTGTTTATGGATGGGGACATAGGGGGGGATTCTCCTATTTGATCACTTGCTCAGCATTTATTATCTGGAAAAAAAAAAAAAAGAACAACAACTGCTTTTAGGTACCGAGTAGAGCAAAAAGCCCTGACACTAGATAGTGGCTAACAGGTACATATCTTTTAATTTATTGTTCTTATGAACGTATCATTGAAGGTGACCTAAAATGAAATGCACTAAGTAGGTACAATCCAGCTCTTCTAGCAGCTTTCTTCTATTTTGAGCATCTCTGCAACTCGTTTTAGATTACCTTGTGGACTGCTGTACCTTTCACTCAACATTACAGCCGTGTTACAATTAGCCAGTCAGGATTCCTTGCTTGTTGGGCACTGGGTTAATTGGGCTGCCTCCTGGCAAGCCTGCAAGCGAGTGAAAAAGGTGCTTCACTGCTCTAGGCTTAATGAGTTTAAAATCAGTCAGGTTAGGATTCATGCTTCATATTTCAGAAAGGCTTTTTAAAAGGAAATCAGACTTAACCAACTTGAGTAACCAGCTGGGAAGTGCATGCATGTTTGTTCTCAGTTAAGCCAGCTGGTTTTGCACTTGCTTGGCTTTGGTTGTGTTGTTTTCATTGTGAGGTATCACTGACTGAATAAAAAGCTTTATTAAGAATAGTTGCTGCGAAATTTTCCAGGGAGGTAACCTGGACCTAATGCGAATGCTGTTGTTCCAAAGGTTTATCAACTTCAGTGGGCCTTATCAGGGCTGTTTCAGTAAGCAGTACTGGAGTGGAACTGATGGCTACTTCATGTTTTTGTGGTGGCACCAGGCACTTGGGTGTGGAGAATGCTTATGATAGAAATGCAGAAATAACGTAGGATATTTTGATCTACTGGAGGAATTCTCCAGGCAGAGAGGGAAGGATGATAAAGATTTAAACTTAAATTCTGGAGGTAAGTGTGCTTTTACATAAGACAGCATTTAAACAAACTTAGTGCCTGCATATTATGATGTTGTATACAAGGTGTCTCAGTAGCATACTGGATTAGTTTTTTTTTAACTTAAGAACTTCTGCTTTACTCCTAAGGTTGCTCAAGTAGCACAGTGATTTTATTTTTTATTATGATCTTTACTTTCTAGTTCACATGCATAAGGAATAGCTTATGTTTGTCATCAGCCAACATCTAGGACTGCTTCCCCTTGTGGTGGGGGAAGGCTAGCCTGACCCAATGGAGAAGAGAACCCTTTTTAAATTGTATGGGAGCCTAGCATGAAGTGCAAATGATAAGGTTGCTTTTTATTTTTGTTGCATCTCTAATTTGAGGCTGAAACAATCCCTCTCATTTGAGGAGAAAATGCAAACAGGACTGGAATGCAGCAGTATCCTACTGTTGTCTTTCTGTAGGTGCAGTGTGTGTTAGGTTGATCATTCTGGCTTGTTGTTGAAAATTAGTAGTGATCTTCTAGTTTAACCTTATATTTCATTTCTCTTGGGGAGTGAGTGTTCTTCTTCCTAAGTTTGGTCAGATGTGCTTAAAAGGTAAATATAGCTGTTAGTCTTCTCCTCGTGGGAATGACCTTTTTCTTTCAGAAGCTCTGCCTGGTAGCAGAGGTGACAAACATAAAACATCCAGAGCAGGCGGAGAGGAGAGAACAGATGAGGTGTCAGCAGCTTTGCAACAAATGTGCGCAGTTCTGTGTTGAGCCTGCAGGGATACAAGAACTGATGTGTGCTTTATCTCCAAGGTGTTGTTTTCATGGTCAGAGTATGCTGAAGTTCAAGCAGACTTGGCACAAGCAAAGCACTAGCAAAAGCTGCTGTCTCTAGAAGGAAATCCAGGCTCTGGTTGTTTTGATCAGCTAGGAACATGCTCTGTAAAGCAAGGAACTTCTAGTGGGCAGCACAACTTGTCACCTCCCGAGAGGTGAGCGTTTCTTTATGCTTTATTCCTTGTTGGTTAGTTGGCAACTTGTCCTGTACTGCTGGTGCTTCTGCAGGGCTGGGGCTGGAGGAAGGGAGGGAACCAGTTCCAGCAGCACAGGCAGCAGCATCCTGGAATCCAGACAAAATACAGCAGCTGGGAGTGGTTTCAGCATATTTCCTGTGAGCTCCAAGCTGGGTGGCATTGCATTTTACCTGGCTTTTTTTCCTATTGTGTGTCATGTCTATTTTATGGACAGAGCACTGACAGACTGTTGTCTAAAGATAACTTATTAGTTGGGGCATTCATGATTATCAGAGAGGATCTTCAGTCAAATCTGTCTTCTGCACAGAAGCAAACTGAGAGGCAAAATGTGTGGTTATTACCGTAGATAGAAAATGACTTGTGGCAGCAGTAGAATCTTCCCACTCAGCTCAACAGTAAGCAGCATCCCTTAAATATTATTAAACCCTTTTTTTCTAGTGTGAGAGTCTTATGCACAAAGTAAATAAGTGTATGTGTAGATTAGAAGCCTTGCTATGCAGGGAACTGTGCCAGCTTTCCTTAAATTTGCCTTACAGTTACAGAGGCTTTCTGTAAAAACTTATATTGAAGTAACTGGATTTTGCTACAAGAGGAAATGCAAGCCTGAGTTTTTAGCTTCAGAATGCCAATTTATGGCATAAAGACTTCTTAATGAATTAATAAACACAGGAAGGTCTGCTCTGTGTAACACTGCTAGAATTCACTTTAGTAACTCTTCCCACTTCTGATACTACTTGTGCATCTTTCAGTCCTTACTGCTTTCATACTTACTTTGCAAACCTCTTGAGCCCTTCTTGAAATCAAGTTTGCTCTGGTATCTATTTTTGTTTTGAAAAGTGAGGATTGTGCAAATATTGAGGGAAAACCAACCAGTTTCTGTTTTGACCTGAGTAAGGCAAATACTGCCAGTACTTTTTGTTCTTCCATGCAACCTGTAAGCTGTCTTCTGTATGTGAGAGAACACTGAAGTAGTCTGAACAAATAGCAGTCTTAACAAATCTCTTCAAAATGAGAGAGGTATTTCCCTTCCTTGTGGGTTTCAGAGTGGTGGGCATCCTGTAGTTCTGAGATTCACGGGCAAAGGAGTGACTTCCTTGCTGTAGATGTTGGTGAGCACCAGCATCACAGTAGTAGAGATTGTTCTGAAACACTGCACCTTGTGTGGCCTCAGTATGGCAGCCTTCAGCAAAAATAAGTGTTCCAACATTTGGAAAGGAGTATTTTTCTTAGCATGTCCTTGTAATATACAGTGCTGCTAATGGTGCTTAAAAGCTTCTTTCTGTGTTTCCTGCTTTAGGAAACAGACTAGTAACACTGATGGGAAACACTTGGTGCTGGATGTTCATTCTCTCCTCAAATCTGGCAGCTCTGACTTGATTTTTAAACTTGCTTTTACTTTGATGTACAAAGGGATGGATATCAAACCTCTTAATGTATGGTAACTTAGTACTGTCAATTCTATAAGGGCATTCAGTGAATTCTCTCCTTGAATTGAATGGAAGGTTTAAAGGGAGAAAGTGCTGTGAGTACACGACTCTTCACATACCAAAGTTGCAGCAAAATTGCTAACCCCACAGCCTGGGTTAACAATATGGGCTTTAGCTCATCGTACCGTTTAAACAGAGGAAGAGGAGAGAAATGTTTTTCTAGTGTTCTCATCAACTTTTTAATATTAGCTTCAGTGTCAGAGAATGCAGAGCCTACACCTGAAGAACAAGACAAGTCACTGGACAAACCAAAACAGAAAAAGAATCGCTGTTTCATGTGCAGGAAGAAGGTTGGACTTACTGGTAAGAAATTCTCATTTTGCTTTTTCTAAAAAGAAACTTAGGCTTTGGAGCACTGAAAACATTTTATGGCATAAATGGGGCACGGTCACTTCTTGATGCTGTTGATTGAAAGAGCCTTTGCCCAAGTTTTGTTTCTAGCTGGCTTGTACTAGATTTAGTCTTCCATGTATTTTGTTTTTCAGCTTCCTTTCTTTAAGTGAAATTTATAACTCCAAGTTACTGCTCTTTTGAAGTCTGCTTAGCTGGGGGTTGGCTAATAGCTGGCTGCCATTTGCTAACCATCATTGCAGTGGAAGGGCCTGAGAAGCTTGGGTTGTGTGGGGTAACGGTTCAGAAACAAAGAAAATAATCCAGAAGTCTTTGTACTGATACATAATGCAATAGGAAGGATTGGTCAAGTCAAATCTCGCTTTAATTACTTAAATGTATTATTTGTGGTTCTTATGCTTTCTGCAGCAGAGCTTCTCTTTGGCTGATTGACACTGGTGGCAGATTTATTGATAGTGAGTGAACGCATTCAGGATTTAAAACAAACGGGAATGCTTAAGAATACTGAAGTGCCTAAACTGATGTTTCTGTCCGCAGGGTTTGAGTGTCGGTGTGGGAACGTTTACTGCGGTATGCACCGCTACTCAGATGTACACAGTTGCTCTTACAATTACAAAGCTGATGCTGCTGAGAAAATCAGAAAAGAGAATCCTGTAGTTGTGGGGGAAAAAATCCAGAAGATCTGAACTGCTGCTCCTGCTGGAATACAAAATCCTTTGACCATCTGCAGATTAAATTGACTTGAGCTTTTTTTCCTTAGTCATCAGGAATGTAGAGCAGTGTACCTTGCCTAGACCTTTTAATCATGCATGTCATCAGATGAATAGATTTTGTTCTTTGTTTTTGTTTTGAAAATGACCGAACATTTATTTTCATTGCAGTTTTCTGTGGCTGAAGACTTAAGTAAAACTTTACAAGTATTATCCTTTAAGATCATTTTAATTTTAGTTGAGTGCAGAGGGCTTTTATAACAAACGTGGAGAAAATATTGGAGGGCTGTGCTTTTCCAGGATAAAACATGCATGCGTTAACTTTGCAGTTTATTTTCTTGTTGTATATAGCATTTCTCTGCAGCACAATTTCCTTTTTTTTTTTTTGATAATGCCTTGTATGGCACAACTAGTTATCAGTAACTGAATGTATTTTAATCATTATGGCTGCTTCTGTTTTTTTCCCATTAACGAGAGGTTATACATGTTCGCATATTAGCTTGTTTGCACCCTCTACCTATTTATGTATGAATCATTTGTAATGAGAGTGTGTGCTGAGATTGTCTGTGTGGTTTGTTTTTTTTTTTTTAAATTGGTTTTTGTGTGTATGGGGGGAAGGCTGTATGCACTTCACTGACTGCAGGTTCCATTGGTATTACATCCATCAGTCTGTCTGTACACAATATGAAGAATGATCTGAAGTACCTGTGCTGTATTTATGTTTATCCATGTCTTAACTTTGATTAAATAAAATTAAAAAAGAAAAAAATTGGAGCCCCTGTGGCTGTCACTGGCATCAATAACCTGGATCTCTCCTGCTTTGTTTTAATGGGAATCTTCCATTGATGGTTCCTTTACTTACAGTGCATTTGTTCACAGGCTGTATGTATCCTAATGCCAGCTATAGTCTGATTTTATATTTTGTGCAGCATCACTGACATGTGAAGGAGTGGGGTTATCTGTGATGTGCTTAAGTTGGGAACGTGCCTACAGATAAGTAAAAGCAATGTCTCCAGCTTTATTGGCGATTAGGTCCTGGAGCCAAGCATGTGTGACTCTGGTCCTAGAAAATACTGCTCTGGGGTCTGTGATTCACTGTGACAGAGCACTGCACAAACTTCCTTGAAGTTAGATGACAGAATATGTCCTGAGACAGCTTCTCCAGTGGGGTTGTGTTCTCAGGTTTGAAATCCACAGGCTCCAACATGGAAGGCTGCCACAGCCACCCTCCGTATGCATCAGCAGATCTGCAGGTTTGTAAGTAATCCTCTTCTGGGGGTAGGGGGAACGCTTTTTACCGTTTTGTAACAATGTTCAGTAATTATCTTTAATTAAGACAGTGTGTTTGATCAGACCCAGAGCGTTTCTCACCGTTCTACCACCCAGGTCATCCACATGGCAGAAAGTTGGAGTAGTTTGTGTAGCAGCATGGTAAATTCAGGCAGTGTTGCTTATCACAGAACTTAACAGTACACTGAAGTGGGACTAATTCCTCTCCAGGTGGTACTGATCCCTGGCTGAAATTTCATGTGGTGACTTGCGGCTGCCTTTGAGCATTTGTGAAATAAATGGGATTGCAGGGCTTTATTTAAGATGTTAAATTTTTAATCAAAGCTGGCTGCATCCTTTAAAATTCAGAATGCTCTTTAAAAGCTATGGTTGGCAATTAGTAGATAAAGCATTTAGCACAGACACTACACAGCAGAAGGAGCTTTCTCTATCAGATTGCTATGGAGAGTAATTTGCAAGATCCAGTCATAAATGAAGTATCTTGTGCTTGCAAAAGTGGCTTACTCACAATTGATGAATCAAAGTGTTGTAGTAAAGGAGGGGAGAAATAACTCCAAGTCCCAGTAGCAGTCTACAACTGTGGGTCAAAGATCTTATATTTCCTCAGAGCACTTGCTAAACTCTTATGTAGCACAGAGAATGAAAGAGCAGCAGCTTCTTTTTTCATGACTGTTTGCTTTTCACTTAGCCACTGCTTTGCTTTGCTCTAAATCTTCCCTGCTCAGTTCAACAACTTCCTCTTTACTATTTTTGGTGTCTCCTCCTTTTTCTAGAAGTATCTTTTCTCTATTTCCTCTGGCAGTGATGCTTCTGGGCTAAGCAGAGAGGAGACGCCATAGATTTTGCAATGGGGGAAAAACAATTGTTTTGTAAGTTCTGGTATCTGAGAGACTGGAAGAAGAAAGGGCAGAGAAGCAGCTGCCTTTGGAATTCATGTAATCCCTTACTGTAATCCCTTACTGCTGCCTGTTATGAAGCAATAACTCTGCTGGCCCTTGATTATAAGGTAGGAAATGTGACTGTGCCAAGAGGAAACTGGACGTGCAGTGCGATGGCAGTGCTGACTGGCAGGTCAGTGTTGGGTAATTCTGTTTCTACACATAACATTCTCAAAATAACCTAATAAATCTGTTTGTGGCCTGGCTTGTGCGGATTGCTCCGAGTAAAGAAAATTGAGAGATAATATGGTCCTGATATACCAACTTGGACTGGAAATCAACCTTTCCCTGATAGTAAGTTGGTGTTTGCTTTGGCCTTGGCTTTGTGTTATCATGGTGGTTGATCTGCTTCTCAGCCTGGATAACCAGCGATGCTTTTCATATTCTGTCATCAGCATTAGGTTAGCAGATGAACATTTTAATTAATACCAGCACATTCAAAACGCTGCAGCACCCTTGCATAAATCTTGTTTTTCAAGATGTGTGCTGCGTATTTGCACACTTTCATGATGTTTTCTCCTTGGAGTACGCACACAATTCCTGTAACCTGGCATGAAACTTTTTCACAGTGTTAAACATTTTCAGTGGTCACTGGAACAGTTGCATCTGAGATGCACCGAATTTGCTTACAGGGAATTTTGCAGGAGTTGGTGTGAGGCATTGTATTGTTTGAAATAAGAATCCATTCCAGATGGCACCACGTGAGCTGTCTTTGCTACTAGTGAAGAGCTGTCACAGATGGGCTCTCATCACTAGTGTTGTGTCATCTTGCACTGAAGCTTTGCTTCTCCAGTTGCTCTATTTCTTCTAATGAGTCTTCTCTGCCAAAAAAAAAAAAAAAAAAAAAAAAAAAAAAAAAAAAAAAAAAAAAAAGTTGAGCAGGAAATAAGTTCTTATAAGTTCTTTGCCTTGGCACTCACAAGCTGTCTAACTGCACTTATTGAAAAGGTGTGACCTCTGCTATTTGGTTTCAGTTTCACAAGTATTCCCTCATTGGTTTCTGTTTTTCCCAAATGTGGATGTCCCATGCATGGGGAGAAAAGCTGGGTTGGGGATCAGAAGATGCCACAGGTTTCCCTGCCCTTGTTCTGTTTGCACATACCTGTTTTTAAGCTATTGGAACTGTCTGGCAAAAATGTAACTTGGATACAGCATTGTGAAGCTTAAAAGAAGGTTGAAGTGCAGCTGGAGGTGTCAGCTGAGCATTTTCTCAGTGTTGCTGAGCTGCTGGCAGAAGAACTGCTCCATTAAGGTTAGATGGGGACATCGTTTTCCTGCCTTGCTGTCAAGTAAATCACCCCATGGAAGGTAAATGGACAGCATTCTGTTCTCACTGCCCCATCTGGAGCTGTCTGCATGGATTTCCCTACCTGCAAGGATGGAGCTGCTGAAAGATGGTCCTGGTTTCACATAAGGGTTTATCGAGCAGGAAGAGCCTGTCTGCATGCTGGCCCCATACCTCAACAGGAACAGTTATCAGCTGCTGACTCATGCAAACCTCTGGCACTCATTAACCACAGCTGCTTGCCAGTAGGATGAGGGGTGGGATGCAGGCAGGGCTGCAATTGGTTTGGGGCTGCAGATGGAAGGTGGGATTTGGTGCTGCTGTGCTCCCCGTTACGACATCTGAAGGGGCTCTTCTTTTGAGGTAGGAACGCAGTGGCCCAGCAGGTTGGGGCTGTCTTTGTGAGCATTCAGCATGTCTTTCATCCACGTGGACAAGGACTCAGATTTCCCTCTGCAAAATCTCCCCTATGGGGTTTTTTCCACAAGGGAGGAGGTGAGTAACAGCACGTGTTGTCCTTGGGCTGCTGTAATTGTGTGGAACCTGTGAATAGGAGAAACTCCCAGCGATGTGGGATAAGGAAAAGCCTTCCAGGTGGTACAAGTTGCTGATCTGACAGCAGAGCAGCAGCTGCTGCACTGTCTTTTTGCTTCATATAGGGCTTCTGGTAACAGCCTCCTCAAAACTGTACTAAAGAATGGAAAGTGTTAATACTTCTGAGGAGTACTTTGCTATCCTATGTTTTTTTTGTGTAGTTTTGACTATTTTTATTGTTAAATGAATTGTCTCCTGCAATAGCTGTATTTGTATGTGCTGTGTTCTGGCCTTTAGCAGCCTGCTCTCACCAGCTGGGTGGAGTGGTTGCAAGAGTACTAAGCAGAGCACAGCATGCACGTGTTACTTCTATCTCTGCTGCTGCCCCATTATGGTTTGTTGGGCATAGTGCTGCAGCAAAGTGTTAAATGTGCCAAAGCAAAGCTGTGCCCAAAGGCTTGAGCCAGCTCTGTTTTGTCATAGAATCATTAGAATGGCTTGGGTTGAAATGGACCACAATGCTCATTTAGTTTCAATCCCTCTGCTATGTGCAGGGTCGCCAACCAGCAGACCAGGCTGCCCAGAGCCACATCCAACCTGGCTTTGAATGCCTCCAGGGATGGGGCATCCACAACCTCCTTGGGCAACCTGTTCCAGTGTGTCACCACCTTCTGTGTGAAGAACTTCCTCCTAATCTAACCTAAACCTCCCCATCTCAGTTTAAAACCATTCCCCCTTGTCCTATCACTATTCACCTTTGTAAACAACCATTCTCCCTCCTGTTTATAAGCTCCCTTCAAGTACTGGAAGGCCACAATGAGGTCTCCTCAGAGCCTTCTTTTCTCTAAGCTAAACAAACCCAGTTCCCTCAACCTTTCCTCATGGGAGAGGTGCTCCAGCCCTCTGACCATCTTAGTGGCCCTTCTCTTGACCTGCTCGAAGAGTTCTGTGTCTTTCTTGTACTGGGGACCCCAGGAAATGTGGCTCAACCTTTTCCAAAGAAGAGAGCTCCCAGTTCCTGAGTGCTGAGCCCTGTTAGGCAGCTGCTGACCTGAAACCTGCAGCCACCCAATGCCTCAGAGCAGCTGTAACAGGCCCTGGAAAAAAGAGAAGTATCTGGGAAGGAGGGACTGGAGGGATGCACACTGAAACTTCATTGCTATCTCCTGGTTGCTGCTGTCTCCACTTATCGATACTGATTTTAAAAAGAATTTACGCCTAAAGATTGTGTTTTCTGATCTCATATTTTCCACAGATCAAAACAAGATGGTTTGTTTAATCTTTTCCTAGGTGTGTGTGTTGTTATCTAACCAGTCTGGATTATTTTTCCACCTTCAGACTGTTCACCGAAGAAAACATTTTTGCTAAGATCTTATTAGAAGGCAGGCAAGGGTTTATGGAAATTATTTGGGGGAATAATGTTTTAAAAATGGCACCATGTCCCCATGATTTCGAGCTATGGTGGTTGATGTCATGTACCCCAGTTACAAATTAACCTGATGTGACCTTTAGAGTGCTCTGCAGGAATGTTTGCTGAATAAATCCTTATCGCATTGGGAATCATGCTTAGAAATTAAAGATTAAGAAATATCTTAATTTGGAAATTCAAGGTTAAAAAATAGGTTTAATAGCATGGATTTTCATCGGTGATTTTTTTCCATTTTTTTAAGTTTGTTTTCCTAATGAGTGTAACCAGTCTGTCTCTATTTGCTTAAAGGCATGGGTAATTGAAATTTGTCTTTGAACGTGGCAGCATTTCTGAAATCTCCATCCCACGGTGGTGGAGCTGCAGTGAGATGTTCTGTGCTGCACCAGCATGGTGAGCCCTTCAGGACTGCAGCAAATGAATGGGGGCTTTGTTTGTCATCTGCTGGGCAACACAGCCATGGCACTCTCCTACACAGGCAGGATGCTTTCCCTGCAGTCAGGATCTGCACCAGTGTTCACAAATTGCTGTGATGTTAGATCCTGTCCTCGTGGATTCAGCTCCCTGTGATTGCTGCCTTCCCCCATTTGCTCTTTGGAGGATTTTTGGCTACGAATGTAAACTCTTCCCCCCACTCTCACTGCTTTGCAGCCTCGGCACAGGATTGGAGTAGCAATTGGAGACCAAATTTTGGATCTCAGTGTTATCAAGCATCTGTTTAATGGACCGGCTCTTGCCAAACACCAGCATGTCTTTGACCAGGTATTTATCTCAGTCTATAGTTTGAATTTCCGCATGCTCTTAAATATGTGCGTGAGAGTTGTTAGCAATGAGTGATGAGATATAGACAGCAAACTGGAAATGCTGATTTTCATTCAGCACTGAAGCTCTTGGTCCATTTTTAGCCTGGTGTAGTTGCAAAGCAGAAATACAGTGAAGTAATGCCACCCATGTTTTGAGTGGTAAGGAGAAGTGAAAGAAACATCCAGAATAATCAAAGTATTTCCGGTCACTTTAAGGCCTTTTCCATTGAATTGGTTAGTGCAATATAGAGCAGTGCTAGCAGCTTTCCTCATGAAACTCTGGATTTGGATCTAAAGAAGGAACAGAAATGCAAATTTCCCAAAGTCCCATGCTGGGGGCCATGTTTGGGAAGACCTCCGAGATCACCTAGTCCAGCTACCAGTCCATGCCTGTGACCGCTCTAAATGAACCACGTCTCAGTGCCACATCCCCGCAGTTCTTGAACACTTCCAGAGATGGTGACTCCACCACCTTCCTGGGCAGCCTGTGCCACTGCATCATCGCTCTTTCTGAGAAGAGATTTTTCCTAATATCCAACCGATCTCTGTGCCAGGGCACAAATTTGGGGCATCCCATGGGGAACATGGCCAGCATCATTGGCTGTGCTATGCTTAGAGGCAGAGCCTGTGGCTGTGAGGATGCAACGGGGGCATCTGGGGCCTTGGATGTTTTTGTGAAGCAAAGCTCAGTCTCTTATCTGTTGCCCATCAGCCCACTCTCAACGCCTTCATGGGGCTGGGTCCCACGGCCTGGAGGGAAGCCCGTGCCCTGCTGCAGTCACTGCTGTCAGCCGCCGAGCCGACGCTGCGGGACAACGCAGGCCTGCGGAAACGGTGAGCCAGCCTGGGCCTGAGGCAGCTGCCCGCCATCTGAATGGGATCCCACTGCTGTTTGTGCCTAATGACAGCTTCAGTGACAGCTTCACACCCCTTGCTGTGTCTCTGGTTAATCGCTTCACTGCCTGCAAATGCAATCATGGAACCATTTGATTGGAAGGGACCCTTAAAGGCCAACTGGTCCAACTCCACTCAACAGGGACACCTACAGCTGATCAGAGTTCCCAGGCCCGTGGGGACACCTGGAGCTCCACGCACACCAGCCATGGCCTCCACGAGGGAGGTGGCTGTGGTGTCTCCAGCCCATGCCTCCCCCTATCCCAGCAGCATCCTTGTTTTTATTTCAACTAGAAAGGAATTGCTGCAAGGCTTTGCAAAGCAAAACAAGGATGGAGCTGCTTTGAGAGATGCTCAGCCCCTTATGTGCTTGTAAACCACTTCAGGGTGAAAGCCACAAACTGTTCTGAGAGCTGAAGTCTTTGTCTTTTATTTCAGGGCATTTGTACCTCAGGCTTCTGCTACCATGCACCTGCCAGCACACATTGGTAAGCCTTGTGGGTTGCCAGCTGCTCAGCTCTGCCCTTTGCTCCTGCTTTATTTCCAGGTTGCTCAGACTCAGTGTAGCTGTGATGGGGAATGGGTTTTGTAGGAGCTGGAAGTAGCTCGTATGCAGAGAATGGTAGGTGCTGTCTGCAGTGCAAGAATAAAAGCCCTGGGAAGCTCAATATCAGCCAGAAAATTCCTGGATGTGGTTTAAGTATTGTCCAGTGCCATGAAATCCTTGTCATCAGACTTGCAACACCAAGGATCTTTGTGGCTCACACACCTTGCTCTCTAGACCCTTCACCATCTTCGTTCTCCTCCTTTGGATGCTCTGATGGTTTTATGTCCTTCTTATGTTACGGCATCCAAAGCTATGCACAGCATTAAACGTTCGGTTGGCTGCAGCTGGGCTTCCAGCACAACATCCCCCAGCAGAGGGCAGCAGCTGCCCGCCCGCTCCTGCAGGAGCTCCTCCCTGTATCAACAATTCCAAACGCTGCCGAGCGTCTCTGCACCCTTCCCTGCATCCTTCCCTGCACCCCTCCCTACTCTTTTCATCAGCTTTAGTCCCAGCACACGAGGGGCTTTTCTACCTTTGTTCCACATCCTCTGGGTTTCTATCCATGCAGGAGATTACACCGACTTTTACTCGTCGCGACAACACGCCACCAACGTTGGGATCATGTTCCGGGGGAAGGAGAATGCTCTGATGCCCAACTGGTGGGTTATGAGGGTGGCTGTGTTGTGTGCTCACCCATAGGTATATACATGCATTTTTAAAGGTCAGGGTAGCCCTTCAGCAAAACACTGATTTCAGTTCACACTGGAGGAATGAGAAACTGCTGTCAAGAGCTTGAGAAAAGAGCCCCAAACCCCAGCCTGTGCTGGTGCATCTGCACCAACCACAATGAACCTCTGGTTCAAAGGCAGATTCATCTAAGAAACTGTGTTCTACCAATTGTGTTCTGGGTTTAAGCTCCAAGAAATTAAGCAGAGCATTGGCTCCGGAGTGCATTTGCACAGCTACGTGGTTGCAGGATTTTGTATGTGTCTGTATCTCAGAGCAAGGATGGTGCAACTGCTTTTGCCCATCTGTACAGAGCCTGCTCCTCAAACCTTGCGCTCTATGCAGCCCAGGAAGCTGCTCTGGGTGCTGTGCTCCCTGATCCAGTATATACTCTGTGATGTTCTTTCCCAAGGCTGCACCTGCCTGTTGGGTATCACGGCCGGGCATCTTCTGTTGTGGTGTCTGGGACGCCCATCCGGAGACCTGTGGGGCAAATGAAACCTGACAATGGTGAGTCCATGACAGGGCTTAAATGCGGTCCCTTACTCCTTTTTTAACTATTGTTTTCCCTGCACGTTGCAGTGTAGGGTCTGTGATGTTCCAGTTGGGTCAGGGCAGAGAGCAAGAGAAAGCCCAGAGCTAAAACTTCCTTGTGTTCGCGTGCCAGGCAGCACTGGATGCTTTGTTTCTTCTGCACAGTATTTTCATTTGTCTGTTTGCTTCTTTCTTATAAAATACTCATTTTTTATGCCTGCAGATAAACCACCAGTGTTCGGTGCTTGCAAGCGTTTGGATATTGAGTTAGAAATGGTAAGATGGGGTTTTTTTTTCCCTGCCACTTCAATACATAAACATTAAAAAGAGGGAAGAAAAGGTAGGATCAGCTTCTAAAATGAATATTACACGATCCACTTATCCATTTCCTCTGATAACTCCATATAGCAGGCAATGAATGTGGAAATCTGTGGTGGAAATCTTCCCTTCTGCAGACAGCAGGGTGTTTTAGATCATCTGCTGTTTTGTTAGTACAGCTTTGAGACTGGAAACAACTTGTCTGGTCAGACCTGAGCAACCTGGAAGTAAGCACATGGCAGGTTCTCCTATCAGGCACCACAGCCTGTTCCCTGACCAGCAGTTCCCATTGAGCTGCAGCCAGGATCCTTAGCTGGATGTGGCGGTTTTGGAGGCCCAGAAAGGCTGTGCAGGAGCAGGGGAAGCAGGAGTTGTTGCAAGTACAACCCAAGCACCTCATCCTGGCTAGAAAGAGAAAACCCATGCTGTGGGTTTTGTAATTAAATATCCTTGGACAGTGCATCATCTTCTTGCTCAGCATGGTCCCAAGGAGAGAGCTTTCTAGGGTTCCCTGTTGTGATTTATATGGCCTTTGTTGTTTTATATGGGAGTAAGAGCGATGCTAAGTCATGGTAAACATCCAGTAGGGACATTTCCCCACCACCTTCTCTCACTGTAGTCTCCCACTGAGCAAAGCAATGACTTTAATTCTCTTTTATCTTCACAGCCCACAGAAAATATGAATGGCCAATGGACTCTCTTATTTTGCATTTGATTTGCAAATGGAGGGACTAATTTTTCTCCTTTGTTTTGGTATAGTCCTGCTAATGACTGTCTCTTGGAAATGCAAGTCTCCTAAGAGTTTCAAAGTCTTAAGGAGGAGAAGAAGGAGGGAGTAGGTTGTTCCTTGTCTAATTAGTACAGGAAAGGATGCAAAAACCATGTCTTGGCCAACCTCAGTTGCTCTGACATGTAACCCTCTGTGTGGTGAAGTTTTCTACCTTCAGAAACTTAACCAACGCTTTGATTTTCAACTTCAGGCATTCTTTGTAGGACCTGGCAACAAGCACGGGGAGCCAATCCCAGTCAGCAGAGCCCATGAGCACATCTTTGGAATGGTCCTTATGAACGACTGGAGTGGTAACCAGCACCATGGGTGGGGTCAGAGCATTATGGGGTGCCCTAGATATGGATGGATGAATGATGTTTTTTAAAAACACATTCATGGGCACTGAAACAACTGGGTATGTTTGAAAGGGATCAAAATGAAATACTACCTGCATTTCTTAGGCTCTTTCTAAACCCATCTTTGATCATTCAGTAGAACCAGTGACTGCTGCCTAATGAAGATTGATTTACTTATGAAGGAGCTAATATCCATCTAGGAGGGATCGAGCAGCGCTAAGGATGGTGATCTAAACAGAGGATTGATTTCAATGTCAGGATTAGGGAAATAATTTGGCAATCACAAATCCCTCTGCCTGTGCAGAGGTTTAAGCAGACAAAAGCATTGTTATTGAGGTGAAATGAGCCCTCCAACTGGTGCACCTGTCTGGGTGACACAGTTCAACTGAATTGAGGAGGAAAATATGGTTATGGATGACTCGGCTTGCTTTAATTATCCCTGACTACTTAATGTAGCCAGTCTGAGAACTTCAGTTTGAGAAAGGGATGGAACTAAACCAGAATTTGGGCACAATGGCTGTAAATCGGTAGTGGGAATGTTTCCAAGTCCACACAGCTGGTTCTGTAGCTGTGCAGAGGTCTTCCACCAGTGTAAAGGCTGTACAACTCCAAGCATGTTTAATGGCATTACTTTCAATTTTCCTTTCCTAGCCCGTGACATCCAGAAATGGGAATATGTTCCTCTGGGCCCATTTCTGAGCAAGAGCTTTGGCACAACCATCTCCCCTTGGGTTGTCACCATGGAAGCTCTTCTCCCATTCCTGCTGCCAAACCCCATCCAGGTCAGCAAGAAAAAAAGGCTTGAAACTTTGAACAGTTTGTGTGATCCTGCTTCAAAGACACAAAGAAAGCTTGAGCCCTTTGAATCCAAATGCTGACTGATGCGGCACAACCATGTGCTACCTGCCATCCTGCCCACTCGAGCAGGGCAGAAATATCATCTCTTCTAAAATGTCTTGAAAATGAACTGATCACTGAGCTGCTAGGTCGTGTTTGGTACTGCTTAGCATCCAGAAAGCAGGAGGGGGTTTGTGCCAGAGCACTTTGTTCAAACATCTGTGTTATGTAGAATTGTAGTTAAAATGGGAAAAGATAATGAAGTTCTTACAGAGAATTTACCACCCTCTCTGAGCAGGCACAGAGAGGAGGTGTGCTAGCACTATATTAGTTTTGGATTAACATCCATGCCAAAAAGATGGAGAGGGCTTTTGGAGCCCAAGTGCAAAAGAGGGAATGTGAATCTGCGGGATATCACATCTGCTCAGAAAGATCCTTAAAAGCATGCGTGTGAGAGCAAGAAAAGCAATAATCTGAACAGTAATAATGGTAAAGTAAATGGAGTGTGCAGCACAGCCTGCATTAACAAGAACTCACTGAGATGGCACATGGAATTTTTCCTTTTTGCTTGTATAAACTGTCACATCTTTTATATGATTTTAGGATCCCAAACCACTGCCCTACCTTCGGGATGAAGAACCCTACACTTTTGACATCAATCTCTTTGTTGCAATTAAAGGTATGGCAATGTGGAGCCAGTTGTAAAGCTGAAATCACCAATTACGGACTGCAGAGCCCCCCACGTACATGAGGCAATTTGCTCTTGGCTCTGCATTCCTCTTTTCTTGCAAAGCTCTTCATGCTCCCTCTTGGCCAACCAGTGATGCACACAGGAGGAAATGAAGCCCACCAGAGGATTGCAGATCAACTTATGATGAGGAGATCCTTGTGGGGGCTGTCTGAATGGGTGGGCAAAAGTTGGGCAAGGAGGGAGCAGAAATCCATGATGTTAGCCCAGCACAGAGCCCAGCTAATGGCCTCACTGAGCAGAAGGTCCAACTGTTGTCCATATTGTTGCTCATACAGTAAAGGAAATGATCAGAATTGGGTAGCTTGATGTTACGCTGGTGCCATCCATACACTTGTTTTCTGGCTTTCTTAGGGAATGGAAAATGTTATTTGCTGCTCTGCTGCTAGAGATTGTAATGATAAAAGGAGTCATCCATCTATAAAATGAAAAGACTCCATCATTCATCCAAAACAAATGAGTTGTTTCCCTGTTTCTTGCGTTTTATTTTCTGCAGGAGAAGGAATGAGCACGCCAACTACTATATGCAGGTCCAATTTCAAGGTAGGACTTTAGCCTCTTTCATTTACTTGAAATCTTGCTGGTGCCATCAACTCAGCTCTTAGGCAGCTTCAAACGCTGATTTTTGCATTAGTCAAAGATCAGGTCAGGTTTGAGTAAGGTTCATAGAATGACGTGAGTCGGAAGGAACCCGTAAGGATTGTTGAATCCAGCTCCTGGCACCTCACAGGACCATCCAAAAATCAGACCATATGCAAACAGAGGGAGAGGAGCGGATGATAGTGGCAGCTCTTCCCTCCTTTGAGATGGGAACTCCCAAGCACTGAACAAGAGAGCAGGTCTTCCTGCTGCTCAGCTTTGAATTCAGGCAAAGGGGCTCTTGCTGTGCCACAGTGGAAGACAGCCCTGCAGTCACAACTGGTACTTCCCATGGGGACACAGCCGTGAGCCCAGGTCTGCCCTGGTGCAGTATGTGGGCTGGTGAACCAGCTGCAGCACTTCAGTCCATTTTGAGTGCACGTTTGGTTCTGTTCATCTATAGTAATTACCCTAATCAGTAAATCAGCAGTCAGCACAGCAGTAATGAGGAGATTTTTCTATAAGCCTGTTAGAATATTAGACCTGATCTTGGATCCTGGGCTAGTAGTGCTGGCCTTGAAGAGGAAGAAGAGGATAAATGGCGTCTAATTTTAAGAGGCATTGTAAAGGGCAAAGTTACATGTTATAATCTGAGTTTATATGCATGCATGGTCATCATGGGCATCCTGGTCTAGTATCAGATCTGGAGGTTGGTGGCACTGCCTGTAGCAGGGTGGTTGGAACTTGATGATCCTTGGTGATCACAGACTGCCTTGGTGCAGTATGTGAGCTGGTGAACCAGCTGCAGCACTTCAGTCCATTTTGAGTTCCAACACAATATGATTCATTCTATGATCATATAGAAAGCTATCAGCCATGTCACAGTAACTATTAGAAATGCAGCTGTGGGCGTCACTTTCAGGCTGCCGAAGGTTCCTGAGTAAATAAGGAAACATCTTTAGGGATCTCCTGACCAGCATCATCCAGAGAATGCAATACCTTCTGCATAAGCATGTGAGAAAGGTTTGTCCTTAGCTGCTTTAGCCTCCTCCTTTTCCTTCCTGCAGCACATGTACTGGACCATGAAGCAGCAGCTGGCACATCACTCCATCAATGGATGCAACCTTCGACCAGGAGACCTCCTGGCATCAGGAACCATCAGTGGGCCTGTGAGTGTTCAAGTGCTGATAGCACCAGTAACTGCTCAGCAGATTTAAAATATTACATCTACAGGCCTAACTTTACAAGCCATTACTCTTGTAAGGGCAGTGGTTGCAATGTCTGAGCAAGGTACTGGCACTTGCTGAAACATCAAATATAATCACTCTTCATGCTGTCTTTCAGACAGCTTCAGGGTAAGTGCTTTCCAAACAGAGATACCTATCCTTCCATTCTGAGCACCTCTGCAGTGCTTTCTGCTTCCCCTAACCCACTGTAATGCAGGTTGACGTTGATGATTTACAAAACTTTGCCAGCTTTGCTTCTGAAGAACAAAACATAAATAAAACTGTGCAATGTGGTTACATGAAAACATGGGTTTTCAGCAGTGCCCTAGATTTGCTTCCATGCTCTCTGTAGCTGCCTCAAGCAGCTTGTAAAGGATTTAGGACTGCTTTAAACATACCAGATGAAGCCATGACTGCTTACAGCAAGCAAGGAATTGTAATGCAAAGGCAAAGCAATAAGCCAGTATATTACCAATGAAGCAAATCAACAGCAAAACTCCATTCTGTGTGTTAATCTATTTGTGAATCTACTTCCAGCAGTAAGTAGCTTAGCAGTAGGACCGTTACTAACGAGACATTCACCTGTTGATAACTTTTGCTGCAGGAACCTGAGAGCTTTGGCTCCATGCTGGAGCTTTCTTGGAACGGGACAAAAGAAATTCCTCTTGGCTATGGACAGTCTCGTAAATTCCTGCAGGATGGAGATGAAATCATTATAACAGGTAATGGCTGAGAAATGCTTTTATGCTGTACCTAGGAGGTGTTTCCAGGTGTTGGTGAGAGCTGAGGACATGGCTGTGCTGTGTGTGCACGCATGCAACCCCGGCTCTTTTCATTCCTCTGAAAGAGCTGTGCTTTAGAGCTCTTTCATGCTGGGCTGTGCCTTTAACTGTTACTGAGATGCATGTGTCTGCATCTCCCCTAGTGCTGGTGTTTGCAAGAGCATGGGCCACCTTGTTTTCCTTCTGCACTGCAAAGCATTTCCTTCCCACCCCTTACTGTCTTCAGTTAAACTTTTCCTGGTCTCTAGCAATGATCCAGCTACCAACCCTAAGCCTTGCAGGAAAGTTCAATGGGCAAAAGCAACAACGGGGCTGTGGCATAAGCTAGCAGGCTACAACTGCCTGGTCTAGTTAATGCATTTAAAGCTGAAGGTCTGTTACCGAGCCGTATCTCTACCACAGAAATGTTTAACTGGAGAAAACCCAACACAGTAGAGCACAAGGGCATCTAAGTAAAATGTGAGGCTGAAGGTAGGCAGGATGCTTACTGGAGCAGTGTTTGTGGCGGTGCTAAAATGGATGAGCTGACAAAATCCAGCATGCTGGATTGGTAGTGCTGCAGGATGGGTCTGCCTGCAGGAATATTGTACATCTCGTTTGTTCTTTGATCACATTCACTGAACTTGCATATTGCTGTGTTTCACTAATAGTCCTGGCCTATTTGAACTTCTATTTTCCTCCATTACAGTTCTTAAAGTTTTATTTATCAGTCAGATTTCAAGACTACTGTACTCTTAACCCCCTTTACACGCAGTCTTAAGTGTAGCAGCACCTGAAACAGGAGCTGTCGCAGATCACAGCTCCATGATGAAGAGGGACAGTGCTGAAGGAAGATCAGACCCAGGTTCTTTTTGTACTGAGGAAGGGGTCAGCTTCTGCTCCCAAGGAACAGCAGTAAGATGAGAGGGAATGGCCTCAAGCTGCATCAAGGGAGGTTCAGGTTGGGTATTAGGAAATATTTATTCCCTGAAATAGTGGTGAGATATTGGCACAGCTGCCCAGGGAGGTGGTGGGGTCACTGTCCCTGGAGGTGTTCAAGAACCATGGGATGTGGCACTGAGGGATGTGGTCAGTGGACATGGTAGGGGTGAGTTGATGGTGAGATAATCTCAGCTGTTTTCTCCAGCTTTTGTGATTCTATGACTTTTCCTGATGTCTGACAAGAAGGACCAAACCACAAAGCCTCACCGTGCCCATGGGTTGGGATCCAGCTTTAAAAATGTTCGTGTTTGTGCATCTAAAAAGTAATGGAAAATCCTTGCCATAGGATAGCCTCATCACGACATCTCAACTTGTGCAGGCCTGGGCACATGCATCTCAAGTATCCACATGAGGATAATTCTATGCATTCATGGCAAAACCCCACTGTCCTCACAGTACAACCTGTCTCCTGTTTTCTGCCCCCAGGTTACTGCCAAGGCAGTGGCTACCGCGTGGGGTTTGGCCATTGCTCAGGAAAAATCCTCCCAGCTGTATCAGGTCTGTGATGTTTGTGGGAACATCCAGGAGGAGGAGTAAAAGAAGATGGAATATAAGGGAAAGGAGAAGGAGGACATCTCCCCCCCTGTGCTTCTGAACTCAGAATTATTATTTTTATAGGACTGATTGGAAACTTACTATTTTTAATTATCAATAAATATCTTCAAGATGAATGTGGCTCTCTGGTGTGATAAGAAAAGTTTTTCTACCCTAGCTTTAAAGTTCTTGGGATGTGAGAATAGGGTGATTTAAATAGAAAGAGAGATTTTTATCTCTTCTACATTAATATTTTTATCACAGCTATAAAAAGGTCTTCAAGTAAACTGAAATATTCACTGGGTTGGTGATACCAGCAGAGCTTAAATCCTGGCTTCTTTTTTTGCAGTGTTCATCTTCTGGGGGTAAAACCCTAAAAGTGGGTGCTAAAACCTGAGAGCCATTTGGAAGAAGATTGCTCCAGAAGCATCCCCTAAACCAACACACAAAAACACAAAATTGGATGTGATGGTCAATGCAACTGACAGCAAAACAACAAGGTGCTAAAGGAGCAGCCTTTCCAAAAGGGTGAAAACAGAAATTACACTGTACCAAAGGGAGGGTGGCAGCCCCAGCATGATGATTTGCACTTTGTCCCCTGTCAGGGAACAACAAGGGTCTGGGTGCTGGCAGCTCCTTGCAGCGGGCAGTGAACAAAGCACGTGGCACTTCTCTCCAGTGTAAAGGGCATCTGCCTCTGTCCCATGGCCTACAAATCAATTTAACGCCGTGGCCCAGTGCCAAATCACATCAATTAGAGGACATCACTGACTGAAGGAGCTCAGGAGAGCAGATAATAAACTCCGGTATGGTGCAAGATAATGTTGCCAAATATCTGCTCGGTCCTCCAGGTGAAGGGGCTGATGGAGCTGTGGGTTTCGTGCAAGGACAGCAGTCCCAGGACTGCAGCTGCATTCCCAGAGCCAGGAGCCCCTCATGCTGGGGCTGGGGGCAGCAGGAGGGGCTGGCTATGATCGTGACTTGTAGAGCTGCCTGTAGGAGAGGGTCTGGGTGCACCACCTCCAAACCTGGGTGTCAGGACATGCTGATATTTAATATCACCCCTGAGGGAGTGTGCCGCATGACCCCTTGGCCAGGCAGAAGGGAAGAGTGAATTTGGAATGAAGATTAATGAACAAATGTGACAGTGCATAAATCATTGCTAACGGGGCTCGCTCGCTGAAATGGGATCTCTCCCAGGCAGCCTCAGCGCACAACAATAACAGTCCCTTTCAAGAATGATGCTGGGAGGATCATCCTCAAATCAATTTAAGTTTTTAGCTTAAGACATTCCACTGTTGGCAGAAGGGATGACCTGGGCAGAAAAACAGCTCTTTGTTATATTAAAAAAAAAAAAAAGGAATTTTTTCTTCAGGCTCTGATAGGTACTCCAAATTGAGCTAATAGACAGATACTTATTTTAATGCATTCTGACTTAGATGGCAAATGATCTTGAAGGGCAACCACAAGCTGATATATTCCCTCTTGGATTTGGAAATAACTCGTGTGATCCTTGATGCTAAAGCTGTGGCAGCCCCATATTTCATCTTGCCATGATGCCACCATCCCATGTAAGCACGGATGGGTTTTGTATGCTGGAAGGAAGGCTGCTGTTCTGAAAAACCCAGGAACAATCTCTATTGACAAGAGCTGATGGAGATGGCAGGGCAGTACACTGCTATTCATGGGTTTTGACCTTGGTACAAGTCATTCTGCAGCCAGGAAGGACTGCAGCATCAGTGCTTTTTGGGTACAGGAATATCTGTTGAAACCATTAAAACCATTGTGCAAAGCCAGTGCAACTACACCTTCTATCCCAGTTCCTGGCCAAACCTCTGTAGAATGGTGTGGACAGGCAGGAGGTGACAGGGTGTTCCCATAGCCCCACAGGTGCTTCCCAACTTGGTTAAATCTGAGAAATCCCAGGTTTCCAGAAATTGATGTTTTCCTCCCCAGAGCTCACTCTGCTCTCAGAGCAGATTTTGGATGTGGGCTGGAGGAAGTCCAAAGCTTTGCTCAGGACAGAGCTCAGAGACATCGACCGCCTGCTGCATGGCCAGAGGCCAAAAGTCCAGCAGATGCTAAAAAAGGAAAGGAATGGTTTTTATGACCAAGGTGACTTTTTTTTCACCTGCAGGATAAAGATGTGGGCTCATGGTGTTGGAGGCACCTCCCCTTTGAGGGAGGGCACCCATGAAGGGGAAACAGGTGAGTAGAGCAGGAGGGTGCTTCAGCCTGGGGCCCTTGGTTCAATGCTTACAATGCTTGGATCAACACCTGCACCTGGTGCTGGGAGGAGTTTCTGAAGGGCCGTTTAAAATGGTTTGACCCTCTCTACAAAAAGCTTCCTGGGCAAGAGTGGAATCTTCTGCTGCAATTGGATTTGAAGGTGGATCTCTTTGCTTCTGGAGTTTATTGCTTTTAATTCAAGTCTGCTTTCGTTAGATTTATTGTATGGTAGTTTCCAACAACAATCAATGAAGTAAAGCTTTAAAACCAGAGCTCTACTTTATCACAGCGCTGAGATTGTGACTCAAGTGGAGAAGAAAAAATTCCCCTGTGGATCTTCAGAGGCCTGTAGGAAAGGTAAACCCACCCCAGAGGGGTTTGGGGCTGTGTGGGAAGGGATGGGCTCCTTCCCTGGGTGGATGAAATGCTCTTTCAGAAGCTCAGGGTTAAGGCAGTGACTTTGTTAGAAGGGATGCTGTTAGTAGGTGATATTTGCATTTGCTTTCTTTCTAAGAGGCCATTTCTCAGGCTCAGGATTGCCACCTCTGCTCAAGGTGCCCACGCTGTCACTGCTATGTGAGAAAGAGAGATAATTTCTGGGCTCTAAAGTTGATTGAAAGCTCTGGATGTGTTCGGTAGTACGTGAGCGACATGCTGAAGGTGCGGCCCTGTGCTGGGATTGGTCTGCAGATGGCTGCTGCTTGAAAAGCTCATTTGGGTTTTAAACTTGTTTTAACACCCTCCCTTTTCCTTATGGATTCAGCACACTTAATGCAATTTTAATGCTTTTTGTTTGATTTTTGATTTCACCCTGGCCAAGTTGCAGTACAAAACAGAGAGCTTTGTAATTAAGCACATCACTCAACACTTCATAATGTTGTTCTGCACTGAGATGAACCCTGAGGGTAAATGCAACGAGAAGTCTTAAACTGTGTGTGGCCTTAAAAACACATGTGTGATCAGCATTTTCCTCCTGGGTTACAAAAAGGAGCTGTGGCCAGAGGATATCGACTGCTTTTAATGAAAGGAGTTTAAAAAGAAAAAGTGAACATGCAAAATAATATAGATTGCAATAAAGTATTCCCATGGCCATGTTAAGGCATGGTTAAAATTGGGGATTTGGTATCCTTTATTTAGATCTGTTCACCTGGGCTGTGCAGAACCAGAAGACAGCCATAGAGATTGGTGTGATGGCTGGCAAGGCTGGGCCAGTGGGGTCAGGAGGACAGCAGGAAGGGGTAGCCAGGGCTTGGATTTATTGCATGGAGCTTTTATCCATTCAGGAGCTGCTCTGAGAGCAGCATGGTAACTCCAGCTGCTGCTTCTGATGTAGGGAGTGGCTTGTCACAATCTGTACCTGCATTGGATCCTGGCAAGTAGTGAACTGCAACACACACAATTTCTTTCCATGTTGAAGCTGTTTATTGCATTAACTAAATACATCTGCAGTAAGTTTGCATTATTTCCTCTGAGTGCAATTGCCGGTAGTATGGCATGGTGATTAAAAACAATAGAACTGGCAGAGGCACTTGTTACATGCAGCTGCAATTAGTACTGAGCGATGCAGCCCCTACCAAGCTTCCACTGCCCAGGAACGTGGCTCTGCCAACCAGACTCCCAGGAGATGGAGTAACAAATATGTCCTGGGTGGCCGGGTCAACCCAGAATGCAAGCAAGGTGAAGCTTCTGCTTTCAGCATGGTGTTTGGTATTGCTTTTAGTTAGAGTGGTGAGGCTGTGTTGGTAACTGTCGGTGGAAAGCAGAAATTAGAATATACATATATATATTACAACTATAAAAAACAACCCCACCAGTGTTTAGGTAGTCATAGGAAATGGTTTGATGTAGGGGAGGCTTTTTGCAAACAGAAAGTAAAACAAAATCTTAAAATGTTTTGTATAGATTAATGGAGGGGCAAAGGGGGGAGGAAGATAACCACAAATATTCTTGTGAAGTGAACCTATTTGCTTCCCCAGCATTCATAACCCTTTGCTCTCATATGCGCTTCCTTCCCCTGAGGGCTGTGTGCTGCTGTCCATGCCCAGCCAAAGGCACAGCACAGGGCTGACCTGGGAATTCAGGGTCTTAAACTTAAAAATATGCATAAATCCTTAGCTGAACAGGGGCTTAATGGTGGTGCGCAGCAAAGCCGAAGCATGCATATTCTCCTTGAGAGGACTGTTGGCACCAGGAGTAGTGACAAGCACTTTTCTTGCTGTGTCACTTGTGAATATAGCCAGGTAACCTGAATACGGAAGTCTCTGTAGCCTGGAAATAGTTATTTTACTACTACTTGCTTTGTATATTCTGTAGCCCCGCTGGTATCAAAGTGGGATATGGAACTTAATGACAAAAAACAGGCTCTAAATGTCAGTGGAGTGGAAGCAATGCCCTTTGAGCTGGGGCACTGGTTCCTATGGTATGGATAGGGACACACATGAATAAGAGACCAACATATTTACTCAAAGAGTGTTGGACTTTAACATTCACACTTATAAGACTTCCGTTACTAATGGTTAATTAGCTAACGGATCCTGAAGCTGAACAGCAGGCTGGTGAGCAATCTGCAGTGGATAACTGAAGCAGTGGAGAGATCTCTTGGTTAAAGAAGAGCAGGATTAAAGCTGATCCTCAAATCTCCTCCCTCCTGAATGGGCTCTCCTACAACAGAGATTAGCTGAAATTGTGCAGTTGAGCCTAGGACAAAAGGTGCACACAAAGTTTTCCATATACCTCATAGCCTGCTCTTCTGTAGTCAGTACTCCTTGGAACTCAATGGAATAGGCAATAAAATCAGGTGCCATCAGAATGACTCAGGATGTTTTGACCTCAATAAAAGTGCATAGAGGTCTGGACAAGCTCTCTGCTGTGGAGATTTTCCCTTCCCTTTTCCCTTGCTGCACAATGAGATTCAGACCTTCCTGTTTTGTTTTACACAAAGAAGTTGTAAATCAGTATCTTATTTCAATGTCTCTATCTAAGGTCTTCAGGAGCTTATATAGTGGTACGATATAGCTGAAACAGGGCAGGACAAGTTAATAGTATTGTATCAATTTTACATGTTTGAAGACTGAGAAAGAGAGAGGGGACTCGTGCAATGGTCAAACAAATCTGTCAGGGTCAAGAATAGCAATCTACAAAGTCTATATCCAGCCTACGCAGTTCTGTCCTGGTTTCTTGCTCCAACCTTTATTTCCACCTTTTTTATCCGCTCTATGTTGTCTTATGGCAAGATTGTAGAAAACAAGATGGCGAGGAAGAGGAGAAAACGAAGTGTCCTTCTTGCAGATCTGTGCTCTTAGGCCTTGTCTATTCATGACACTAGTGGTTGCAGTGCCTACTCCTGATTGCTTCAGCAACTCTTTACAATCCCTTAAGCCATATGTGTAGCCACTCAAGGCAGGTGTGGACAAGCCTTAGAACTTAAGAAATGGAGGATGCGGGAAACCTTCAATTACCACTCTTCAAAATGCAAATAATATAATTCCAAAGTTCCCTTTTTCACTTCTTTTATAATGGCTTTCTTAATGCACTGAGTAAAGGAAATACATAGATAATCACCAAAAACATGGGGAAAAAGTTTTTTTTAAAGGTACAGAATTTGTTCGAGGTAGAATGCATGTTCTTGCTACTGTAACTTGGGCTAACAAATCTGACTGACCAAGCTAGGAACATCTTTGCTTATTGTCTTTAACATCTATGTGCGATCCCACTGAGCTGGCTCTGAAAGAAGAGATTAATGAAGTTTTGGGTGGAATCACTCTTTGATAAACGTTGCAAGTTCTTTGTAGTTGAAGCCAGTGGTGTCCAAGCTCTGCTCTGTGAACTGTGGCTATCAAACTCATTGCAAGAGATCTGGCTGATTGATGGCAGATGTCAATATATCTAGTTATCCATGAGTAGGATAGGGAAAGGCCATGCTGCAGAGTCAAGCGTAACCCACATCCCCCTTGGAAACTGCAGTTTGAGTGCTTCTGTATCTTGATCACTAGAAGTATGACAGCACTGTGGTGGGGAAGCATTTGGACACTACTTAGTTCATTGAGAATAAACTTGCTCATAGCCATGGTGCTTTAGTGTTCCTTCTCCTGGGCTGATGACTGGACTAGACAACCTTGTTGATCTTTCCAGCCCTGATGATTTTATGATTCTACCTAACGTTACCTGGAAAGACACAACTGCAAAACTTTGCCTTTCTTCAAAGCACAAATATAATGACTCAGGAAGGTATCTGAAGCAACCTTGTATTCAGGGAAGACATTCTTATTGCTTTATCAAATTCCAATTTCTGAATAAAGCCCTGGATTTGTGGGAGACGTTGAGAGGGCAAACTGTGCTATAGCTGTAGGAAAAGTCTAGAGGATGTTGTGCTACTGAGTTATGTGATGACCATCTTCATTAAGATGAGGGTTGCTGCATAGTATTATTGTGCTTCCAGAATGGCTTGCTGATGTCCTGGTCTATTGAGCAATAATCACATGAACTATTGGCTCTTAAATATATTGCCATCATCCTGCATTTCTGAAAATGCCTGTTCCTGCTTGCCTTCCTGATAGGAAGAGGCCTCCTAGATTGCACCATCTCGTGGCTCTGTGTAGTCAAGCCCCTTCAGTCATCCAGGTGCTGCTCCTCCCATGTGGATGTAGGGATAGCACTGTAAGGGTCCATGATGACTTTTGCACAGCGGATTATCATCACAATCAAGAAAAGGCAGAGGAAGACAAAACATGCTAGTGTCAGTCCCTTGTCCACATCAACGTATGCGGGCTCTGGGGTGGGTCCCTCCATGGCTCATGCTGCTCCTCATCGGGGTTTATGTTTGCTGCTAACATCATTGAGCACCTGCAAAACAAACAATGTCAGACACTGGGGAAACTCAGTACAAGTGGAAACAGAAAATATATGATGTGTTCTCAGAGGGAAATCAACCTGCCGAAAATCTGATAGCTTTAGTAACAGGGAGCTATGAGCTGGAGAACCCTGACCACCACTTTCTTCATTCAGCTGTGTTTCTTGCTAAAATGTTAGACAATGGAAACAAACGTTAACAAAAGAGAAACAGGAGTGCACAAGCACCATCCACCTGGAATATCCTTTAAGAAGTCCAGACGCTGTTCTGTATCAGCATTCCCCAATCATAAATATATTTCCACTCCTCTGTTAGTGTGAAAGACCAGACAAATGGCAGAGCAGACTGTTTCTATCCCAATTTTCTTCTCTGTCCAAACATTCCCTGTCTCTTACTGGCACAAAGCAAAGTGAAAATTATGCGTACTCATTTTCCATAACATTTAATCTCTACTACTCATAGGTTCTGTAGGCAAGAGATGATTTTCAGGTGCAATATTCTTTAAGTAGGTGTTTTATCACCCAGAAAGGTATGGGTGATTATGTTATTCCTACATGAATTATTTTACTTAATGCAGATGTCTGCACTGCTGAAGGTCTCTTCTGACCTTATCTGAATCCTTAAGCAAAATTACTTCAGCAGAGATTGACTCCTTACTGCAGATACGCTGCTGGATCTTTCATTGGCTGCTGCCCTTGGTATGGCAGTGCTTAAGGAGAGGAGCTGACCTGGCTCACAGAGTGAGTGAGGGAAGTTTCCTGACATGGTCAAAGTGGGAGATGTAAGAATTGAGCGTTTCTCCTATGAAAGAGTAATAATGTTGAATGCCTCCTTAAAATAAGCAAATATCTTTCACATGAAAGACAATAACCAGCCTGAGAACCAAGCCATATTTCATTGGGAGTAGAGAAGAGAAAGAGAAGATGTTAAACAAGAGTGAAATTTGGGTATCAAATGGTGCAGTTGCTCCCTGTAACTGCATCAGTGCAATAGGGAGATCCCAGCCAGCTTTGCCCAGTTCCATCTGCAGGGAGCTGCTGGCAGGGCTCTTTCAGCAGTTCACATCTGGCTGGAGCACTGTGTCCTTGCAGCACCTTGTGCCAGGTGAGTACCCCAGCACTGAGCCCATCTGCCCCGAGAGTTCTTCCCAGGGTGAACTGAGGACCTGTATTTAAAACAAATAAATCACCATACCAACTTTCATAATTTATTCCCTTTCAAGTTTTCCAATCTCACCACCTCCTAGATCCTACAGGACAAGGATAAATCAGCTGGGCTCTCTAGTCTATTTTAAGCACAAGAATGGCTGATTTTTATTTTCAGAAAGCTTAGAAAATACTGCAACAGCCAGTCCTGCAGCAGGGAGTTGGAAGAGAAGATGAAGTGAATGAAACCAAGCAGACACTGTATATTTTTACATCCTTAGGAGAAAGCAGCAAATATGGGCCAGCAAAATGATCACTGAGGAGTGGGGTAGGATTGTGATGCTCATCTGACCTGACCAGAGGTTTTTAGTCCCCAGAAGACACTGTTACTTTTGCTACCCTGGAGAAGATTGTGCTGCTGCTCCAGAAGTCCCTGCCACCCTATTTGGCTTGAGCTGAGGTCTATGACAGAAGTGAGCAGCTCTGGACATTACCAGTTATCCCACACTGTGATGTGGGGCTCTGAGGAAGGGTGAATTCAGTTTGGAATGAAATTTTGGCAGCTTTTAATTTGGGGATATGGGGGGATTTTGATCACTGTCTGTTTAGAAGGCTTCGTAGTTCCCTGCAGAGTCCCTAGTGCTGAGAAAATAGTACTGTGGATTTAATGCTGAAATAACAGTTTTGTAGAAGCTTGTATACCTATTCTGCTAGCCAAGAGATCTTACATTATAACTTAATTTGGTGAGCAGGAGTCAAGACTTTGTCAGCAAGGCTGAGTATTAAGAGTGGGTGCTTTTGTGGAGTGGAACAAAAAGGTTGTTGTCAAAACTACTGATGTAGCCTTGTCCTTATCAGGACTCCTATGAAGGCCCAGTAGGGACTGATTTGATTTTTCCCTTCTGGCTTCCTGGCTGTGCTATTATTTCACACTAAGTTAACCTCTGTGAAAATCAGAACTACCTGGAAGTATTGATCTTTGATGATCAGTATTGATCTCTGATGAAAATCTGTATTTTCAATTAAGTATGCCTTCTTTTAAAATACTACTAATTTACTCAGTAAGTGTTCTGGGATGTGATGGGAAAATCAAACCTCTTGAGTATTTCTTTCCAAATGCCATCACAGAATCTCATTACCCACAGAACCGTGGCTGGGTGATGTTTCCTTTGAAACTCTGGAGCAATGTCCTACCCCTGCCAAAAGGGAAGAGTGTTGTGTGGATGCCACATCCCTGGAGGTGCTCACGGACAGGTTGGATGGTCCTGGGCAGCTTGAGCTGATGGGAACATCCAGCCCATGGAGGGGGATGGAGGTGGGTGATCTTTGAGGTCCCTCTCCCAAGTTGTTCTATGACTTTGTAAAAAGGATCCTCTGGGCAGTAAGATCAGAGCAAAAGCATATGGCATTCGAGCTACAGTTCACACAGCAAATTATGGTGACAGCTTGAATCTCATGTATTTTTTCAGATTTAAATTGATATGTTTTGCAAAGAAGTCAAAGTATTTTCCATGGGACAGAAGGATCTTTTTTTCCAGAAAGCTGTATTCTTGAGGTTAGACCAATCACGTGTCTCCCTTCCTTCTGTTCTCCCCATAAACATAAGGTTCCTGCCATGTGACAGTTATTCTGCACTAAGTAATGGAAAACATATTTCTTGGGGCTGGGCCTGTCTGCTGGTACTTGTGCTTCTCCATCTCTCTAATATATGGGGAACTTATTCTGCTTTTTTCCCAGCTCTCTGGCCCGTGCCTCAGTTTTCATTTCCTTGATGATTCTGACAGTGTATGCATGTGGAGAAAACAAAAAGTTGAGCAGAAATGATTATAAACATTCATGCTTGACTGATCAGGTTTTCTCTGAATAGCTGAACTTTGGGAAAGGACTCTTTGTGGGCTGTGAGCACTCAACTGTAGAATAGTACCTTTTAAATTTCTTTGGATTTGTTGAAAACTATTCAGTTATTATTTTTTTTAAGCCATCAGATGAATGAGAGCAATTCCTGGTTCCAATTTAGTAGGCAGCTTAGCAGCCTTATGAGTGCCTGCTCTTCTGTAAATCCCAATGTTTAATAACATCCCAGGTAAACTCTTGGTGATGGCCATGGAGCTGTCTGCTTCTTGTCTGACTGTTCCTGCCATCAGAAATCATTCCAGTGTGCTCTGTGTGGCAGGGATGGAGAACTCATGTCCCTCAAGGGAGAATTCATCCTGAGCCTTTGTTCTCAGCTCTTTTGCTTCCCAGTGCTCTTTTCATGGACTGCCACACATCCTCATTTTCCTATGACTTTGTATACACCAGCAGACAGAGATGAGTTGGCATCCTCTGTTATGGATGCTCTGTAATGCTTGTGCTGAGCAGGGTGGCTGAATTTCACCTTCATTCTTACCTAGGCACGGTGCTGTAAAAGACATTTCCTTTCCCCTGGAGCTGCAAATGTTGGCGCTGTCACTTTAAAGACAAAGTCATAATGCACATGGATTGCAGGGAGCTTGTCTAAACCAGTTCCTATGCTGGTTAATTCTGTTTCCGCTCATCTCAACCCATAGAACACATTTCAAAACGCTTACTTACAAAAAATCCGCTGCTCCTTTTCCAAAGTAACGTATGTGCAGAGGGGAGGGAAACAACACTATTTCATACATGCAAGCAGATTCCTACCTTCCAGACCTGGGTAGGAAGCCTGTCACATCCCGGCATGGCAGCATCGTGGAGCTAAAATCCTCACTGTAGTCATATTTTAAAAGTTTTGTTGGTCAGCTTGGCTTTAACGCCTTCAGACTCCACTCAGATTCACGTCCACCCAGACCTGGAAGCAGTTCTTATCACTGCTGTGCTCTGGAGGGAAAAAAAAAAAAAAAATTAATAATTGGCAATTGCTCATCAGGCAGGATGTGGGCGTTACAGTCGTTAAGCAGTAGGGATGCACTTCTGTGACAGCCTGAGGCAGTCGGGTACAGTCAGATGTGAGATGGATCTCTGTCAGAAAGTCCCAAGGAGAACACCTGATCCAAAATGACAGCAGTGTTTGAGCCCAGAATTAGGCTGTTTCTTTGAGCAAAACGCACACTTTTAATCAGTAAAAGATGGACCAGCTCTGAGTGGTGCTGCTCAGATGCCTGTCTCTAGTTTGTTGGTTTTTTTTTTTTCTTTTTAAAAGGACAAAAAGTGAAAGGAAACATTTCAGCAGCTTAAAATAATGTGGCTGATCCAACCTGGTGTAGCAATACTTTGAAAGCTACTACTTCTGATTTTTCAGTCTAATCTGGGATGCTATTCTTTTTTACATGCAATAATTTCGAACAGGAAAAATGTGAAAGTTGTTGGATGACAAACCCATTTCACTGCTCGCTTTTGTTAACTTGGACATTTTTTATTGCCTGAAGTGTGGGACAAAGAGGTCAACATTGGGATTCTGAAACCCTTTCCCCCCCACTCCAGTCAGCGAAAGTGTCAGAAAACTTGATTCTTCTCTTGGGGAGCTTCGTGACCTCTCATGCTGATAGTCCTTATTAGACCAGAGAATGAGGGTCTGGACCTGCTGCTCAAGTATTTGTGACAGCAGCAATTGGGGTGGACAGCCCTGATCCTGCTCAGCAGCACCGCTGCTGGTTGCTGAAAGCCTTGCTTCTATTTGTTGCTGTAGAGGCAGTGGGACTTTGCCATGGACCATATGTGTCACACTGAGGTGTCTGTCAGCGTGGGCCCAAATGGCAGCAGCTGCTCCAGGGAGCTCCGAGTTGAGGTGTGAAAGCAATAGGTGGCTTGGGAAGGTAACAGCTGGAACTCAGCAA